CCATGCCTCTATCCAGGAAAAAATTTCTCCTCCTATTCCATGTGCTTTAATTTTCCTCAATAGTCTCTGATGTGGGACCCTGTCAAAAGCCTTACTGAAGTCCATATACACAATATCATATTCATTACCATGATCTACCTCCTCAAATACCTTAGTGAAAAAAGTTAATAAATTCGTAAGGCAGGAACGCCCCTTTGTAAAACCATGCTGAGATTCGTTGATTAATTTATGCTTTTCAAGGTGGCTACGAACTGCCTCGGCAATTATTGATTCCATAAATTTTCCCACTATGGAGGTTAGGCTTATTGGTCTATAGTTCGAAGCTAAGGACCTGTCACCTGTCTTGAAAATAGGTATCACATTTGCCATTTTCCACTTATCTGGCACCATGCCAGTTTGTAGTGATATGTTGAAAAGATTAGCCAAAGGTGTGCTAAGCTCCTCTTTACATCCCTTTAGAACCCTTGCATACAGTTCATCAGGGCCTGGGGATTTGTTAGGTTTTAATTTATCTATTTGCCTAAGGACCATGTCACTTGTGACCCTAATAGTGCACAGTTTATTATCGTCCTGTTCTACATAATTTATCATTACTGGAATATCGCTGGTATCCTCCTGTGTAAAAACTGAGAGGAAGTATGTGTTAAAAATTCTACACATTTCCTTATCACTGTCAGTGAGCTGACCCGAGGAACTTTTGAGTGGGCCTATCTTGTCCCTGATCTTACTTCTGTATACCTGAAAGAATCCTTTTGGGTTAGTCTTCGATTCTCTTGCAACTTTAACCTCATAATCTCTTTTTGCTTTTCTAATTCCCTTTTTTATTTCTCTCTTTAACTGAATATATCGATTTCTCAATTGCCCCTCTCCTCTTTTGATTTGCCTATATATGCCTCTCTTTTGACCAATCAGATATTTTAATCTATTGTTCATCCATTTAGGATCATTTTTGTTTGATCTGATTTCCCTATTTGGAACATAATTTGACTGAGCAGCTAGAACTATGCCCTGGAAAGCATCATATCGGCAACCATCACCACCTACCTGACCCTTAGTCAGGTCATTCCAGTTCAGCCCACCTAAGTAATTTTTCAGTCCTATGAAATCAGCCAAGCGAAAGTCAGGGACGGAGACTTGATTGCCATTATTAGGGGAATTCCATGATATATTAAAACTGAGTGATTTGTGGTCACTTTCCCCAAGCTCATCATTAACCTCAAGATTATTAATTAGTGTTTCCCTACTGGCAAGACCAAGTCAAGGAGGTTATTTCCCCTAGTTGGCTCTGTCACAAACTGTTTTAAAAAACAATCCTGGATCGTATCAAGAAAGTCACCTGACTCTAAATTTCCTGTCAAATTGCTCCAGTCAATCTGTCTATAGTTGAAATCTCCCATTAGCACAACATTTTCGTATGTAGATGCCTTACTGAATTTCGTCCCATAGAAGTTTACTGCACTCCCTATCAAGATTTGGGGCCCTGTAAATCACACCCAAAATTAGTTTTTCTCGGCCCTCGAGAAGCTGTAACCAAACAGATTCAGTGGCTGACGCTTCTAATTTAATATCTTGTCTAACACAACAATTTAAATTGTCTCTGACATACATCGCTACTCCACCACCTTTCCTGTTGACCCTGTCAGTGTGGAATAATTTTATAGCCTTGTATGTGACATTCAGAGGGCATCTCTCTATCTTTCAGATTGAGCCAGGTCTCTGTTATAGCAATAATATCTATGTTTCCTGCACTTGCAATTAATCTTAGCTCATCTATCTTATTTCTTACACTCCTGCTATTAGTATAGTAAACCTTAAGGGAGCTAGTCCCTTGCTGCCCTCTGCTGTCCCCCTTTGTTTGCTGACCTGATCTATTGTCTTTATTTATAACTTCATGCTGAATGCCTTTTATACATTTACTGTTTCCAACCCAAGTGTTGCAACCTGCTTGTTTCCCACACACACCCATACCTCTATCTTCCATCAGTTTAAAATCATAGGCATTTCACCAATGGCCTTCTCAATCGAGTCTGCAAGTGTACGAATGGTATATAATACCGACAAGATGAGAGTAAGACACATGTGCAACATCTGGGTATCTTTATTGTAGACGTTTCGCCATCCAGTGGCTTTATCAATACAAATTCCAGGACATAACTGGAAGACAGTAGAACTATGTACAGAAGATGAGGTAATCAGTCCCTCAACCTAGGACACTGACCTAATTTGCCCGAAATGCAGAGCATAACAAGGGAGTTTCTATATAGTAGTATGTCATTGTTGTCAGCTAGGACTGTATTCCTTGTACATGTACTTGCAGTAAATAAAGATATTATTATTATTATTATTATTATTATTATTATTATTATTATTATTATTATTATTATTATTATTATTATTATTATTATTATTATTATTATTATGAACTTGAAACCATTGCCGCGAGTCCTGTCTTGACTGGAAATTTTCAGCACGCTATTTACATCCCCTTTATTTATTCCTGTTTTCCATTTATACACCTCGATCATATCCCCCCCTAATTCTACGCCTTTCGAGAAGATTTCTGATACATGAGGATCATCTTTGTCATCTTCCTCTGTACGTTTTCCAGAGCATTTATATCCATTCTGTAATACGGTGACCAGAACTGAGTAGCAGTCTAAATGAGGCCTAACCAAGGATATTAGAGTTGAAGAACAACCTGACGACTTCTATTATTTATACTTCTAGATATGAAGCCAAGAATTCCGTTAGCTTTATTGCGAACACTAATGAACTGTTGTCTTGGTTTTAGATTACTGCTAACCATAACTCCTAAATCCTTTTCGCAATCAGTAGTATTATTTAGTTTATAAGTCGCATGGTTATTTTCCTGTCCAACATTTAGAACTTTGCATTTGTCAATATTAAACTGCATCTGCCACTTCTCCGACCATTGCATCAGTCTATTCAAATCATCCTGGAGTGCTCTAATGTCCTCATTAGAATGAATTGGACGGCCTATTTTGGTGTCATAAGCAAATTTGCTTATTCCCTCATCTATGTCGTTAATGTAAATTGTGAACAACAATGGGGCCAACACTGACCCCTGTGGAACACCGCTTGTGACGTGCCCCCATTCTGATTTCTCCCCATTTATGCAAACTCTCTGTTGTCCATTTGTCACCCATGCCTCTACCCAGGAAAAAATTTCTCCTCCTATTCCATGTGCCTTAAGTTTTCTCAATAGCCTGTTATATGGAACTCTGTCGAAAGCCTTACTGAAGTTCCTATACACTATATCATATTCGTTCCATGATCTACCTCCTCAAACACCTTAGTGAAAAAAAGTTAGTAAATTCGTAAGACAGGAACGCCCCTTTGTAAAACCATGTTGAGATTCATTAATCAATCTGTGCCTATCAAGATGGCTACGAATTGCTTCGGCAATTATTGATTCCATAAATTTTCCCACTATGCAGGTAAGGCTTATTGGTCTATAGTTTGAAGTCGAGGAGCTGTCACCTGCCTTGTAAATAGGTATTACATTTGCCATTTTCCACTTATTAGGCATTATGCCAGCTTGTTGTGATATATTAAAAAGATTAGCCAAAGGTATGCTAAGTTCCTCTTTACATTTATTTAACACTCTTGCAAACAGTTCATCAGGACCTGGGGATTTGTTAGGTTTTAGTTTCTCTATTTGTCTGAGGACCATGTCACTAGTTACCGCAATCGTGCATAGTTTATTATCGCCCTGTTCTACATAATCTATTATTTCAGAAATATCGCTAGTATTCCCCTGGGTGAAACTGAGAGGAAGTAGATATTGAGAATTTAGCACATATCCTCATCACTGTCAGTGATCTGACCAGAATTACTCTTAAGTGGGCCTATCTTGTCCCTAATCTTACTTCTGTATACCTGAAGGCACACCCTTTGTCTGACCTTTTTGTCTCTGTTTCAAAAAGCACGGTCCATATATCTTACCTGAGAATCTCCTACTATTAAAATATTCTTACCTTGATTAGCAGGGGAATCAGTGCACTCGTCCTGGAGAACAGAGAACCGATTTCCTACCTTCACATCTTCTCTGTTAACCCTCCTTATCTTCCTTCTTCCTGAACTGTGAACCACTTGCCACTTAAATCAGCTGCCACTATCACTGCTGGTGACTATTTCCTCATTACCAGCTAAATCCTTCTCACGCTCACCCCCAAACTCATCTTGACGAAGCTTCAGCCTCCTATTTTCCTCCTGAAGAAGTAGAACCTCCTCCTTCAACACCTGAACCTGAGATTCTAAAACACTACAACAAGCCATGGTACTTGGTAACACCCCACGCTAACTCCCAGAGAGCTTAGGACAGATATGACCGCAGGTGACAACTGACCTCAACGAAAGTGTAGCAGTGACATGGAAAAACATTTACTGGTGCGGATGGAAGATCAAAATTAGTCACAACGTGCCTCTATGCTGAGCCATTATCCAGTCCAGGGACTAAGTCTCTAATTCTATGAAGATTGAGAGAGGTGAGGAAGCTGTTGAAGATAAATTCGAAGCTAGCAGACGCTGGTTTAATCTTCTGACTTCTTACAATAAATACCACTCACCTCTCACCCTACGTTAACCCTTAACTCTCCAACCAGATCTACATTCACTTGCGTAGTGCTCCAAAAGTAGATCTACGTTTTTTTAACATATTTTCAAATGCTTAAAAACCGTAGATCTACGTTTAGACAGTTTAAGGGTTAAGGCTAAAAATATTTTACGGTAAATAATGGGTCTATTGCATATGCATTTTTTTTTTTTATTTTTTTTTTTAGGTTTAGTTCTATTGCTAACTTAATATTTGATAGTGTAAATGTGTTATCGAGCATTTATATACATTTAAAAGTGAAAAAAGTGGTACCCACCATATAAGCAGAGTCCTCCTGTAATCTTAGAGAAAAATAGTTGAAGAATAGCAGAAAATCACTGAAAGTGATCACAGGTATATCACAGGTTCTTGAGTAATTATTTACCTTCGTTCCACAGTAAATCTGCAAAAGCGGAAGAGGAAAACTCCCTGCCATTGAGCTGATGTTGACAATGGCCCCTTTCCTGCGTGCCATCATGCCAGGCAACACTAACTTGATCATAGCTGGTACAGCTGCAGAGTTGACATTCAAAAGTGTCCAGATATCGTCTTCTGGTGCATCTTTGAAGAGACATGGAATAGAGCCAACCACTCCAACATTGTTCACTGAAATTGAGGGAGCAAAATGTTAATCAAGCAAGCTTAACTGGTAAGAAATACTGAATAACATAAACAGATTTTGTAAGACACCTGCCATCTCCCACCAAGGTAAGGTGACCAGAAAATACTTGGCGTTTACCTGGAGAGAGTTTCGGGGTCAACGCCTCTGAGGCCCAGCCTGTGACCAGGCCTCATGGTGGATCAGGGCCTGATCAACCAGGTTGTTACTGTTGGCCACACGTAAACCGATGTATGAACCACAACCCAGATAATCAGGTACCGATTTTAGGTCCCTGTCCAAAGCCTTCTTGAAGACAGCCAGGGGTCTTTTGGTAATCCACCTTTTGTATTATGGAAGGTAGCTGAACAGTCTTGGGGCCCTGACACTTATGGTGTTGTCTCTTATCGTGCCCCTGCTTTTCATTGGAGAGATGTTGCATCGCTTGCTGAGTCTTTTAAAAAGCTTTCATAGGGAGTGATTTTCGTGTGCAAATTTGGTACTAATCCCTCTAGGATTTTCCAGGTTCATATGATCATATATCTCTCCCGCATGCGTTCCAGGGAGTACAGGTCGACGAACTTTAACCGTTCCCAGTAATTTAAGTGTTTTACAGCACTTATGTGTGCCGTGAAGGTTCTCTGTAAATTTTCTATGTCATCAATTTCACCTGCCTTAAGAGGCACTGTTAGTGAGTAGCGATATTCCAGCCTAGATATAACAAGTGACCTGAAGAGTGTCATTATGGGCTTGGCATCACTAATTTTGACGGTTCTCATTACCCATCCATTCAGTTTTCTAACAGATGCAATTGATACAATGTTGTGGTCTTAGTAAGTGAGTATATTGTTATTGATAAACATTAATCTCAGGTCAAAGGAGACTTGAACCTATGATCCTTGGAACAAGGTATGCAGTGCTCTACTCACCGTACCACACTGGACGAATACCTTGGCACCCAGCCAATGCTAGACGTTTTGGTCCAAGGCAGCCAGGATTCAGGCAGGTGGTGTTAGCTATTCATCTTATCTCCTGCATGCGCCGACTGACGAGAAATTTGTACAATGTTTAGAATTCACAGAACAGGCGAAATATTCACAAACACTAAACTCAGGTCAAAGGAGACTCGAACCTACGAACTTAAGAACAAGGAACACAGTGCTCTACCCACCGTAACACACTGGATGTTCTGCGAATTCTAAACATTGTAAAAATCTCTCGTCAGTCGATGCATGCAGGGGATGAGATGAAATAACTAACACCACCTGTCTGAATGCTGACTGCCTTGGACCAAAACGTCTAGCATTGGCTGGGCGCCAAAGTATTGGTCCAGTGTGATATGGTGAGTGTGAGGTAAAAGTTCAACAGATAGGAGTAGCGAGCAAGTATATGGTGACGATAGTTTGATTGCCAGTCTGCTTGTTGAGGTACCTGGAGGTTACCTGGAGGTTATTCCGGGGATCAACGCCCCCGCGGCCCCGGGGGGCCCCCATGCCCAAGGGCCCCCCGGGGATCAGGGGCCTGATCAATAGGCTTTTTACTGCGGCCGCACGCAGCCCGACGTAGGGCCCACGCCCGGTGATCCGGCACTGATTTGGGGATCTGCCCAGCTCTCTTTTTGAAGGCAGCCGGGGTAGGGTCAGGGGTCTAGCCCCTGTTTTCCCCCCCCCTTTTTTTTTCCACCCAGAAAGGTGAGTGGGGGGCTCCCCCCCCAAATGGATAATCACTTGACTCAAAAGTCCCACAAAAATTTAAGAAAAAGCCCCCTGCCCCTATTCTAGTGGTATTTTGGGTTTAAAAAGCTTCACTTTTAACCAATTCTAAGATTTTGTTTTATTTTCCCTTTGTTTTTTCCATTTTTTTCTTTTAAATCCTCCCATTCTTTTAAGGGGCCCTTAAAATTTATCAGGGAAAAGTGATTTCTAAAGCAGTGGGAAACTTTTTTCTCTTTTTGTTTGGAATCAGCTTGGGCCCATCGGGAAAAACCACGGGAAACATGCTGAAGGAGATTAACTTCATATGATTTCGGGGGATGTCCCCTTTTTGATCTAATACCTGAAGTGTAGCCAACCCATGGCAATACCCCTATTTTTTGCATGGTAAAGGGACCTGCTTTTCCTTTCATTTTGGGACGGTTTTTAAAGGCTAGATACACTGGGGACAAAACCAGTTTTTGGGGGGGTTTTTTTCACTCAACACCCGTAAACCCCCCCCATTTTATCAGCAACGGCTACTTTTTATTAAGGCACAGTGTAACTTAAACCAACACCCCAGTCTAACTGTACGTATTAGCGTTGAATTCCCAAAAATCATTTTTTTTATTTAATTTTTCATTTTTTTTCACTTAGGGTAAAAATTCATATTTTAAAAAGTTTTTTAAATTTTCAATTCAACACTAAAGTGTTTTTTATCTTATGCTTAAATTTTTCTTTTTCTATTCATTTTTAATTTTTTCCCAAGGAGGGCGAGGGCCCGGTAAGGGGCCTAGTGGCTGGTTTCACGCCCGGTTTAAAAAAAATCTGCTTGTAATTACTTGATGTGGGAAATAACCATGATGCCCTTTCCCTTTTTGAAGGGGGTGGGCCCCCCAGGGGTGATAAACCCCCCCTAAAGGGGGGAAAAAATTTTTCAGAACCCGTTTTAGTCGATACAAGGGCTGTGGGGGTTTTTATACAAACAAGCAAGTCTTATAATAAGTGAAATGTAATGGGGGGTTAGCTTTATGTCTCCACATTTGCAAACCCCACCAAATGCTCTTGGGGTATGATTTTTAAACCCCAATTGGGGTTAATAAAGATTAATGAAAAAAGTATAATTACCCCTTTAAAGGGGGGTTTTGTGATTTTTTTCATGAATAACTGAATATAGAAATTATACACACTGGTGAGGGCTCGATGGCCCTCGGATCACCGGGTAATGGTACCCCAAATAAAACACGAAACTGGATATCCGCTGCGCAGCTGACCTACCCCCCCCCCCAGTACCAACAATACCACCAGTCCGATGACATTCTTCTTTGCAAATATACAGGGTCTAAAGCCAGCAACAAACAACAAAATACCTTTCATCCGTGGACTGCTTGCAGAGGCAAAGGCAATGTTCGCGGCTTTCACTGAGACCCACATAAAGGATCACTTGGACAACGAAATGTGGATCCCAGGTTACAACCTATACAGATGCGACAGAGTGAACAGGCAAAAGGGGGGGGGTTGGCCTGTATATTGCAGAGTCACTTGTGTGCACAGAACTGCTGAATGCCTCAAATGATGTAGTGGAAGTTTTAGCAGTAAAGATCGAGAACCAAAACCTAGTCATTGTGGTAGTCTACAAGCCTCCGGATGCAACATCCCAGCAATTCCAGGAACAGCTGTTAAAAATTGTCTGGAAAATCTGCCAGCTCCTGCACCCAACATCTTGCTCCTGGGGGATTTTAACTTAAGGCATCTTAAAAAGGAGGAATATAGCAAATAATATCTTTGCAGTAATAACACCAGGAGACAGCTCTGATGAAAACTCACACTCACACGAGCTTTTAAATCTCTGCACAAAATTCAATTTAAACCAGCAAATAATAGAGCCTACTAGACTGGAGAATACACTAGAACCCCATCTTTTACTAACAATGATGATCTGATAAAGAAATGTCACCATATCAAAACAATATACTCAGATCACAACATAATTGAGGTTCAGACATGTATGCGCGGAGCCCCAGACCGACATAATGAGATTAGTCACGAGTGACCATTCACCAAATACAACTTCAATAACAAAAACATAAAGTGGGACCAAGTAAACCAAATCCTAACCGATATAAGCTGGGAAGATATACTAAGCAACACAGACCCCAACTTATGCCTAGAACAGATTAACTCGGTGGCGCTCGATGTATGCACAAGGCTTATTCCTCTAAGAAAAAGGAGGAGTAGATGTAAAATAGAAAGGGACAGGCGCTCCCTTTACAGGCGACGGAAAAGAATAACAGAGCAGCTAAAAGAGGTCAATATGTCTGAAAGGCGTAGGGAGACACTGGTCAGAGTAATAACAAACATCAAACTTAAGCTAAAGGAATCTTATAGGAGTCAGGAATCGCGGGAAGAACTAAAAGCCATAAATGAAATCGAAAGAAACCTAAAGTATTTCTTCTCCTATGCCAAATCAAAGTCGAGAACAACGTCCAGTATTGGGCCCCTACTTAAAACAAGGGGTTTTTAGAACAGGTCGCTTCCGGGTCTGTTCAACTATTGGATCACTCCCGGAAAGGGTTTCCCTAGATGCACTAAAAACAAAAAAAAAGGGCAGATAAAAATTATTTTACAGACTTTGAAAAAAAACCCTTTTCGACAAGTGTGACCAGGGTAATACGAAACAAAATGTTTTGCTAAAGGAATAACGGAAAATGGGTCGATGGATCTTAATTTCCTCACTAACAAACACAGGAGTAGTAGTAAAAACAGGTAAATTCCGAGGAAACTACGGTAAAAAAAGGGCTCTGTTCCCCCAAGGAAAAAGTACTTGCTCCCATCTTTTTTTTCTCATCCTAAAATTTCTGACAAAAGACAAGGATGTCACCCACCCAATGTGTCCTTCCTTTGCAATGAAAACCCGAATCTGCATGACGGGTGTCTTCCTTGCGGGACACTGAAAGGGCTCCGGGGCGGACATAAACCAAGTCTTTCAGGGGGGTCCCAGAAAAACAATATGAAGTTTAACAAATGAAAAAATTTCAATTATCAAAAAGGAAAAACACGGGGAAAATTTAAAAATCGTCTTCAAGTCCCAAAGAAAATTTTGGGCCACAAGATAGAGCGAGACACCAACGTCAAGGACCGGGGGAGTGATCATGTGGAGGATCTCCCCTTTTAAAAGGACCATAACATTGTACCCAATCGCATCTGCTAAAAAAATGACGGGATGGTTTAATGAGAATAAACCCTGGAGTGCCCTATGCCCCCTTTTAGAATAAAATTGGAGGGCCCTTTTTTGGTGTCATCAGCAAATTTGCTTT